TATTCATAAAAACAGTAAAGATTTTTTTCTTCATTTGCTTGCAAGAGCAAGGTCAGATGCAAGGAGAAGAAGAAGTGGAAGTTAGAGAAGTTGAATTGGAGGGTTTTGCTGGAAGAGAAAGGTCCTCAGGCTTTGCAACTCTACAATCTCGACCTAAGGGGGTTAGGTTATTTCATTGGGGACCCACAATGATGCAGAAATTGCGACCGGGTGACTGATAGCAAGGTTGCAGAAGCTAGTCATCTGCAAACAGCAGAGCACATAGCACAAGATAATTTGATGTTAGCAGAAGAATTTTTTGGCCCTGCCCATCAACAAGATGGAATAAGAGTTCAGACTCAAGGACACAAACTGAGATATTAGTTATTAAATAGTCCAAGAATCATTGTAAAAAAACATAAAGGATTCTTTCAAAGGCTGAGAAAGTCTCTGGTGATAGAGACATAATAATTGCATCCCCAAAAGAGAAAAATGTGGCAGCTAGAAAACATTCACACTCTGCTGTATGTTATAGGATCTTTAACTGAGCCCCTCTCCTCTGTAGATATTGAAGTCATCTGGGTATTTCCCAGCTGTCCTCCCTACTCAAAAACCTCATATTTTACCATCCAATTTAATCCACTTGTTTTTGTCAACACCATTAAATGGACTTATCTAACTTCTTCCGAACAATCGAGGTAAACGGTGGACTGTGCCAAGAATCATAATCTCTATTTACTGTATAAACACAGTAGAGGAATGTGGCCGGAGGCTTGTTGAGAATGGACGGTGTGTTGATAAATAAGGAAGCTCAAGTTTGCCTTATAAGGCTTTATAAATGTAATAGTTTATTCTTACATGATTTAGATGCATTTGGACACATTTACTAACCATCACTTTACCCACATCTGTGTACGTTTCTACAGTGTAAAAGGCTACCAAAACTGTTGGTTTAGCTTATGGTTCTTATCAAGTACATAAGCATAACATAGACGCCAAATAAAACTAAAGGTTAATGAGCAAGGAGAGTCAGAATGGCTGCTGTGGGACAAATAATGAAGGGGGGGGAAACAATGAGGATCGAACATGTAATGACTAAATGTAGCTTGGCAGAAAGGAAGACCAGCTGTGCAAGTGCCATTTTCAGGTGTATGGGGGCAGCTCGGTCTGCTCTGCCCTGCTTTAAAAGGGACTGTTGGTTATGTCCAGCTGCCACTGTGGTGCTCTGTGCCCCCGTCCTACCCATTCACTGAGTAATTAGACTCCAGCCTGATTATATAAACAAGTTGCTGAACTATTTTAAGAGTTTGCCTAAGTCTCATTTACTCAATTTATCTCAACCCGCTGATGCACAACAAAATATGGAAATGCTCTACATCCCGATGCCCCTAAATCAAATGCAGTTAAACGTCAAAACCGTGAGGAAATGTGTCATGATTGATGTGTCCCTAGTTTAACTGCAATAATGGCCTCCCCTCAAGCAGAATTACCAAAATCCACAGGCTTTGTTCTTGACATTCATGGCTCCATATGGAAAACAGTTTCGTATCATTTTACTGCAGCCCTCAAACCTCTTTTCCCAGTTTGTCTCTAGACATTGTTTGGCTCTTTGTAAAACATAATTGTGTCAACAGTCGCAGGAGATGAGACACCAGACCTTTTTGATAAGTGCTTTCCCACAAGGTAAATTTGGCAGGCGGGTAGGGAGCAAACATGCAAACAAACCAGCAGACAGTAATTTTCCACTGTCTGTCACAGTGCATTTTAATGAGGTTGATGGATTAATGCCTCACTTCAGTAATAGGCCACTCGGAGAGCACCAGTGAAGACTGTTGTGCTTTATCAGTGCCCACCGTATCACATCAGTAATGGTCACCCACAAGTCCCGATCCGGCTGTTTTCCACATCATTTTTCCATCTAAATGTCTTTGTCGTAAATGGGCCTTTTCCAGTGGAAAGCAGTTAAACCCCCCAGAAAAAAATTTGGTCGTGAGATTAAATGGTTGAAAACATAAGCTCTTAAGTGTTGTTGCTGATTGCCAGATGATGATTGCGCTGCAGGCTAGACATTTAGCAGGAGTGGAATGGACTTCATTTTGTTGAGTGAAGTGAGGATGTGTGTGTGTGCATATGTTTGCAACAGTTGAACTGTTTTTAATGTGAGGTGACCTGTGTCCCTTTTTATATATGTATACATTCATGCACATGTACAAGGTGGTTTTTTTGTGTGGAACAAATAATCTGTTAATTTAGAGTTTTCTCTGTATTGACTCATGCTTGTAGGCCAGTTGTGGTCCTTGTTGCAAGTGTCCGTGCAAAAGTTTCTATCTATTCTAAAATGAAACCAGTTAGTGTAGACGTGTAGAAATTAGTTTTCCTTCTAAGTTTTAGGATGTGATCACGTACTGTTGGACAAGTTCTGAATAAATTCACTCTTGAGTACTGGCCATTGTTGTACATCATCAATATATGATCTACAGAGCATTCAAGGCGCTATTTTCTTAACTATTATACCTCCATTTTCCCAGTATTACTTTTGACAACCTCCAGATGTTTTTTAGCTCATCAGATGGCTATACCTTAAAGTAAAGATCGCAATTAGCAGAGGGAGAAAGTGTTTTTTCAGGTGACAAAATGTAAAAATGGCACCATTTAAATAAAACCCAGCATGTGTTGTAGCTGCATTATAATCTGTTGATGCTACTGCTGTTGGACATCGTGAGGTCTCTTCTACAGTGAACTGCATAATGTAATTTCTCACACAATGATAAGTATAGAAAGAATTTGTTTCTCTTTGATTCTAATTTTCATCAAAACCTGATGTTTATCTCCTTCATTTTAAGAAATCAAGCAAACTTGTTTATTGCTGCCCTGGAAAATATTCTTAATTTACATTATGTTGTCTATGAGATATCCTTTCTAATAAAAAAAGCCTTACATCAACAAAATGGGTCCATAAATTCAAGATACATCACCAATAGCTTGTCTTTGCTTTAAATTGTGATACTGTAACTTATCTTCAAAAACATCAGCCATCAGTGCTTTGTTTTCAAGTCTTTTCATTGGTTTTTCATTATTTAGAGTTGCTTAATGGATCTCCACCCATGTGTTTGATCAGTGTCCCACCTCCCAGCCTCTTATCTGGGCTAACACAATGGACACACTACCTGCTCTTATTCTTCTCTTCTTTCGAGAAGGGACCATCAGCTCAGCCAATGCCTTTTTGAATGTCAGCGTTTTATCCCCTTTGTATCCTGCATTTTCTCTTTGGTCTTGTTCTTTAATGATTTTGAGACACACACACACACAC